TTCATGTGTTTTTCTTAGAAAAACCAGGTTACTCTATTTTGGAACTGACCGTATATATAAACTTTCTAAACTTGTTATCTATACGTATTGTACGTGAGGCACAGGTATGCCTGGAGAGTGTAGGTGATGTTAGGCACAGGTATGACAACTCGGTCAAAAGTTAATCAGGGATACAACTATGAACTAATAGGCCTTCGTTATTAATATAATTTAATTTAATACATTTTTAATTTAATAAATTGTTATTTAAATTATTAAAAATATTTCAAAATATTAAAAAACTACAATTAGAACAGTACGGTAATAATTAAGCGTTGTTATGAATAATTAAAAAATAATTTACTACATAAAATTCAATTTTTATAAAAGCCTATTAATTTAGTTACAAAATAATTTGAATATTTGTAGTATTTTATCCAAATATTTTTATATTTATTTATTTATTTTTATATATAGTATATTCCAAAAAATATTGATGATAAAATAAAACATTTGTAACCCTCATATAAACTTATATACAGGTTATAAATTATTAATATAATTATCATATATTCTATATCATATTTATTAAGCCAAATAAACAAGACATAAACGGTATTGTTAACCCACTGCAAAAAATTTGCATTCATGTACAAAATCAACGTTTACATCCATAGCCATTAATTTTAAAATATTAAATTGATTAAAACGCAAGTAAAGATTAAATATAAATTTACTGTCAATAAAAAATTTAAACATTATAATTAAAAAATAAATTATTTATTGTAATTATTAAAAGTGAAATATATTTTATTTTGATAGTCTGTTTGTGGTCATGATAATGATCATGTTTAAAACAAACATAATTTGCAGCTGGTTAAAATTTAAGTTATAATATTATTATATTATTTTAAAATTCAATGCAATCAATCTCAAGCTAAATCAATAGATAAGTATATTATAAAAACTAATTACATTTAAATAAACAATTTTTTGTGTTTTATCAATAGGATATTTCAATTGTAATTAATACAATTTTTAAATAATGATTTAATTATTATATAGTATGTAAAATTATTTTTATAAAATCAAACAACTGAGCAAATAATTTTAATTTATTACGCATGTAAGTTTAATAAAACTAAGCTAGATAATTAACAATAAAATATATAATACTGAGATATTTTTAAATTAAATTATTTAACTAATAATTTAATTAACTAATTTAAATTTCTCAATTAACATGTATTACCTATTTGCAATCTATTTGATTGCTATTTTGGCTAACAATGTCTATATGGATGATCAAGGTCAAATCCCAAACATATCACATACGGTACAAAGAAAATTAAATTACTAAAATTTAAAATTATAATAATTTTTATTTTTCTAAATATACAGGGTC